GCATTTCAGGAAACACTACAGCATTTCACAAAACACTACAGCATTTCACAAAACACCACAGCATTTCACAAAACACTACAGCATTTCAGGAAACACCACAGCATTTCAGGAAACACTACAGCATTTCACAAAACACCACAGCATTTCACAAAATACCACAGCATTTCACAAAACACCACAGCATTTCACAAAACACCACAGCATTTCACAAAACACCACAGCATTTCACAAAACACCACAGCATTTCACAAAACGCTACAGCATTTTTGAAAACACTACAGCATTTCACAAAACACCACAGCATTTCACAAAACACCACAGCATTTCACAAAACACCACAGCATTTCACAAAACACTACAGCATTTCACAAACACCACAGCATTTCACAAAACACCACAGCATTTCAGGAAACACTACAGCATTTCACAAAACACTACAGCATTTCACAAAACACCACAGCATTTCACAAAACACCACAGCATTTCAGGAAACACTACAGCATTTCACAAAACACCACAGCATTTCACAAAACACCACAGCATTTCACAAAACACCACAGCATTTCACAAAACACTACAGCATTTCACAAAACACCACAGCATTTCACAAAACACCACAGCATTTCACAAAACACTACAGCATTTCACAAAACACCACAGCATTTCACAAAACACCACAGCATTTCACAAAACACCACAGCATTTCACAAAACACCACAGCATTTCACAAAACACCACAGCATTTCACAAAACACTACAGCATTTCACAAAACGCCACAGCATTTCAACTTATACGGAAAGGGTATTCCTTTAGGGAGAACACTTCTTGTTTGTGATTGGACAGAGCCAGCCAGAGAAGCACTGCTGTGATTGGTTGTTTTTGCTGCCAGTCAAGAAATTACACTTCGTGATTGGTCAGCACCCGACAGCGCAACATGTCCCGAAACATCAGCCGTTAGCTGTTAGCACACAGAGCTCACAGCTCCTCATATCTGTTCAGAAACTGGACAAACGTTAAACAAGTACAAACCACAGACTGTCTATGTCATGGCGAATACAGTCGCTGCTTTATTTATGTCTGTATGCCGTTGTAGTGAGTGTGGACGGAGCAGCTACAGGTTAGTTTAGCCTGATCGATCCGATCTCCATTCAGAAAACACGGTAGATACCAACTACAACAAAATGAACATATTTTACCGTGATGATTACTAATGCTGTAGTGTTTTGTGAAATGCTGTAGTGTTTTGTGAAATGCTGTGGTGTTTTGTGAAATGCTGTGGTGTTTTGTGAAATGCTGTAGTGTTTTGTGAAATGCTGTGGTGTTTTCTCAAATGCTGTGGTGTTTTGTGAAATGCTGTAGCGTTTTCTAAAATGCTGTGGTGTTTTCTGAAATGCTGCGGTGTTTTCTGAAATGATGTGGTGTTTTCTGAAATGCTGTTGTGTTTTGTGAAATGCTGTTGTGTTTTCTGAAATGCTGTGGTGTTTCCTGAAATGCTGTGGTGTTTTGTGAAATGCTGTTGTATTTTCTCAAATGCTGTGGTGTTTTGTGAAATGCTGATGTGTTTTCTGAAATGCTGTTATGTTTTCTGAAATGCTGTTGTGTTTCCTGAAATGCTGTGGTGTTTTGTGAAATGCTGTTGTGTTTTCTGAAATGCTGTTGTGTTTTGTGAAATGCTGTGGTGTTTTCTCAAATGCTGTGGTGTTTTGTGAAATGCTGTGGTGTTTTGTGAAATGCTGTAGCGTTTTCTGAAATGCTGTGGTGTTTTGTGAAATGCTGTGGTGTTTCCTGAAATGCTGTGGTGTTTCCTGAAATGCTGTAGCGTTTCTGAAATGCTCTGGTGTTTCCTGAAATGCTGTTTTGACTTGCACTTCAGGGCAATTATTTCATTCATTCCTGATGTGATGAAATCTTCACTTACACATCAAAGTTGATTTACTTTGTTTACATCCAAAGTGCCAATTTTGGCAAAGACGGGAAATGGAGGATGCAATTCATGAGACAGTTTTTTGTGATTTCCTTTTTATTGTGCACTGGTAGGCAGCACTGGCAGTCACAGCTGCGTGTAATTTAGTAATCAGTACATATGTGCATTTCTCTCTCCTGCAGAGAGGCTGGAGACTCCTTCACTGATTGGACATGCCACAATCATCACTTGGATTTGGTTTCAGGAGCCAATCGTATATTCCTCACCACGCATTCATCACATTTATTTTAATCGATGTCCTTTCTAAGTTGTGAGTAGCAACAAACTTAATTAGCTTTATTCAATATTGTTTAACAGTTTGTAGTATTCCTGTAGTCAAGAATGAATGGGACATACAGTATAAGGTCATTTTAACCCAACAGGTCAGAATTCTGATTTGACAAGCATTGTGTTTTTGGTTTATATCTTTATCAAACACAATTTATATTAAGAGTTAGTCAGAAATGTTGACCATATTCCTAACCACAAATGTTAGCTTTGTCAGTGGGTTTAACTATGCAACATTTACACCTGTCAGCAGCATGGATTTATTAAAAGTACTAGGTACAGCGTTGGATGCAGGGCCTCATTATTTCCTATGAGAGCTGCTCATTGGCACATGAAGCCAAAATGGCCTGATGCTCTCGAGAGCAAAACAGATTGGATTTTTAGCGCATGTTGCAATTTCTATAACCTAATGATTAAAAAAAGGGCTATAAATGTGCTCATGCTGTGTAGTTCATTTAGTCCAATGTAAGTCGATGGGAAAAAATATGTTTGCGCCCAGTAACGCCACGGACTGACACATAAACTGTAGTAACGCCGTTCGGCCACTAGGAATATTTACCCCACTTCCTGGGGATTACATTAAACTTTCGCAAGCATAATGCAGCTAAAGTTGGCAACAAATGCAGGTAATGTCGGCTACATTCAACTTATGCTAGCACAAGTCGTAGCTAACTTTGGTTTAGCCAACAAGCCAAATTCTTATATTAATGTAAAACCATATATATACACCGGACTAGGAGGATGAGACCAATTAGCATCCCTTTTGAACCATTTTGAGCCCTGTTGATAGCGAGCTAACACTGGTGATGGTCACTTCCAGTGAGAGAACAGCAGCCATGTGGGATTTGAGACAATGCTATGTGGTCAAATTCATACTGTGCAAGTGTTCAAAGTGAACAACATGGCAGTGTTATAAGAAAAAGGTCCTAATTGAGAAAAAGCAATGGTTTTCCAGTGATCTATCATCATCCCTTTTGTTTTTTTTGTTTTTGACTGATCCTGCCACAGTATCAGTCATAACCACAAAGTAAAACGTCTTCAAATAAAAATCTCCTCCTGGTTCTTCTGAACAAGCTGATGTTTAAGTCTGCAAAAATGTGCCTGGGAAAATGTGGGCGACTTTACACTATTTTTGTTTGATATTGCTAATGTGTTTGAGAAGTAATAAAACAGTGATGGGATCTTCTTAATCAATATCTGGTCTTTACCATCATATCATCATTCAAAAACGTTGGCAAAACAGTAAGACTATCTCGTGCAGTAACTCCCACATGATTCTACACCTCTTCCCACTAGCAAACACTATCAGCTGAGTTCAGTGCAGTGCCAAACCAAGTCGGAGCACTCTGCATTGAATTAAATTCAGGTCAGTGCATGCTGGGTGAAAGTTTTCTGCTCCTGTTACACCCGGCAACCCCTGTGTTGCTTTTATCTTGCAAGCTGAGAACAATTTCTTTCTAAACAATAATGTCAGTCTGCAAGATGTAATCACTATACCCAAGGCTGCAATTTGAGCATATTGGCAATGACAAAACAACTGCTAGCTTTTATGCATTAGCTCAACAGTAGGGCCATTGTTGTTAGTGGGCTTTAATGTTTTAAGAGATCAAAATGATTTATTCCAGGGACACGGTATCAGCAACAACCTGTGTGTGCAATCACAGTGCACTTAGGAGAACTTCGGTTTCATTTGTTCAATAATGCATTGAAATGTATTAGAGCTGTACATTAAAGGTGGGGTAGGTAAGTTTGAGAAACCGGCTCGAGATACACTTTTTGTTATATTCCATGGAATGCTCTTAACATCCCGATAGCAATGAATATCTTAAGTGCTTTGACAAAAAATCCATACAAAAATGTAATCTGTGGAAGCCGTAATACTGTAAAAAGCACGACCAATCATTTTAGCTGGCCCGGCTAAAATAACTGGATGGCCTACCTGCCTGTCAGCCTTCCATCTGTGCACAAACTTATCTCGTGCCCTCATTGGTCATGTGCACGTTTGTTTGTGTTGGAGGAGGGGCTCTGTAAGGAAGTGGCAGATTTTTTCCGGCTGTGTATTTTCAAATCCTAGCGCACTCGAGCTGGTTTCTCCAAAATTACCTACCCCACCTTTAAGTCGATGAATGGAAAAATAATCATTAACTTCTGGGATAATCATTTAATCTTTCAAGTAATTTCTCATTCAAAAATGTGACATACAGTACATGTTGGTTTTTGTGCATGTAAATGGTCTGCAAATCTTAAAATCCCAAAGTTCCCATGAGAGGGAGTTTCTCTCCCACCGATCACCCACAATGCTTCTGTCACCCTTTGTTTACTTTCGTAACAAAGTAACATAACGATGTAACTCTCGCATTTCTATTGGCTAGTTCTCCAATACATTGTACAAGATAGTCTTAGTGGCAGGACATCTTTAAGCGGTTGACCAATCAAAACAGAGCCGGCCAGCTAACCAATCAGAGCAGACTGGGCTCTGGTTTCAGACAGAGGGTGAAAAGAGGCACACTAAAGCATGGAGACATGTCACAGTTGAGGCACAAAGTACAAATATGGACCTGAAAGTGAGCATAAAATAGATCCCCTTTAAAGTCAATATCTTTGGGTTTCTGACTAACACAAGACATTTAAAGACTTTGGATATTGAGAAACTGGGATGGACATTTTTTACAATTTTCTGAAATTGTATTGACCAATTAATCTGACACCTGCCTCATACTATGTTTTAAAGTAAATATGTGTACATACCAGCATTGTAGTAGCGGTCCAGCTTCTCCCATAGGGGCTCATCCGTACGCTGCAGAAAGGACAGCTTAAGGGGTTCATAGATGGAACCTGAGGAAGGACACATCTGTTACACACACATTTAACTCTTTAAATATTGACCTATAGCATATATTTTAAAATGTATGCCTATTCTGTCGCATTTATCCTCAAAGTAAACATTACGAATGAGTCGCAATCATTTATCTTCCCGATGTTCACCAATAATATTCCTGAATGACTAAACTGCAGGAAAATCAAAAGAGGAGGTAGACGATTTCTCATTAAATGTAATTTCTATACCTAATTGTTTTATAAAATGCTCTTATTTTCAATTTGTTTAAGAGAAAATAAAAAGCAGAGAAAACAAAGAAAGAAAACAATGCACACATGCCATCAAGAAAGTCTTTCTTTCACTGCAACACAATGCATTACAAATAACTCGGCAAACAAAACAATTTGCAGGCGCACAAGATTCAAATGTTAATGTTTGTGGCTTGCCACCATATATCACCTAACATTCTGCTCTGAGCTGAGAGAGAGCTGGAGTTTGAGGGAAACCCCCATCTGTTAGACTTTCTCTATTTTCAGACACTTTTCCCTCTGCTGAGATTTGCATTTTAATGGGTTCGACCTTGGGTCAATACCACAGGTACTGAAAAATTCACATTCAAGCTGAAATTAGCATAATCTTCATCAGCTTAAAAGTTGCTGGGGACAAAGCCAATCCATCTCCTTTTAAAGATAACACTTTAAAAGAGCATAGAGGCAGTCCAATAATTCCGATTGTAATTTCTAACAAAAGATCAGACAAATGTGTATAGTGTTGGTAATGTAGTTTGAAACAATCCTAGATGGACTTCAGTGATGCAGACCTTTTACACTGTAATCCATGCAGTGTGCTTTATGACTTCATTAATAATGTAAATGTTATGGTGTCACTTCTGGGTCTGTCATGTTTACTGTGGAGGAACAAGAAGATTATTATATTGCTAAACCAACATAAGACACAAATTATGTGTAATGTAACACCACATCAAATTTGCCAACAGCAAAAGAGAAATCGAGCGTGTGAATGTGTTTTCTTAAGATTAAAATATAATTACTCTCCACATGGCTGGTTACCTCATATCAGTAAATAAAGTTACCAATATGGAAGACTGTATCAAAATACATTTGTCAACTTCAACAAAATATGACTTTTAAACCTAAGATAAGCCAATATCTAATTTATTTGTATTTACTAAAACAAAGATCAGAACAAATTCATATCAGTCAAAGAAGTCCATTTTTAAAATAGTTTTGAAAAGAGAATTTAAAATGTTTAATATATTACAAAGATTTTCAGTAAGTAATACTTTGCAAACATTTTGGATATGATTTTTTGTTTAAATAGGTTTTTTTGACCTACAGTCCAATAACTTTCCCATATCTGGTCAAAACAAAAATGTTTTCTTGGGATACTTTTTTATATAATTTTTTTAATGCAACTAATTCAATATAAAGACTTTATATACAGTTAAGTGACAAACAAAGTTATTTGAAGCAGGAAGGCAGGAACAAATAATAATATCTTTCCTGTGAGTTATCCAATTACATTGTTTTTGGTTAAAGTACAACAATCTTACTGTGAAAGAACTACACACATTATGATACGCGAGTTTGAAAAATATATATAATTTAGGTAAATAAGGTATTGAACAAAGTCATACTGTATAGAGGCTGAACTAATAAAACTATACCAGCAAATGAAAAGAAAAAGAATAACATTTACCATACACTTTTTTTTTCAGCATGTGTTTACAATCATTTATTTGTAATCTTTACCCTTGTCCTCTGCTGCCTTGTGTGTGGCTGACTCTGCATTGTGTTCCTCAGAGACTTTGACACTACTTACCGAGTATTTGTACTTTCCGATGTGTCCGGGCATTTGCAGCCATTCTCAAAAGGTGCAATTAAGGCCAATGGTCTCTCTCAGCTAAATCACAAATCTACAGCAATTCACAGGAAGGAGTTAGTAGCACAGAGTTAGATACAAGACATACACAAATCAACAAAGAATTACACCCAGTGATGATGATCATGGACAACATGCAAGGAATTACAATGTGTTGAATTTGCCTGGGAATGAAAGTTATTTTAACCCTTGAGAGACAGAGTCATGAGAAACTACTACTAAATTCTGAAGATTTACGGTGGCCAACAGGTGCAAATGCGCTACAGCGGTACAAAACACTTACCTTAGGAGAAACGTGCTGCACTTTCAAAAACGATGCAAATATAAAATCACAAATGTACCACAACACATTCAAATGGAAAAAACATTTTCACCAACTTGAAACACATGGCAGAATTTAGAAAACATACACCAACTTGATGAAACATACGCAAGCGTCTACTAAAGTGCTGCATAAATGAAACGCTGCAAATACAAAACGCCACAAATACAAAAAAACACTGCAAAATGGTCAGAACACAACCAAAACCAGGGGACACTAAAAAGTGATGAACACAGCTGGGACCATTGACAGTTGGCCAACTTTATAATCCTTGAACTTCAACAAGTGCTACGGTCCCAGCTGTGTGCATCACTCTTTAGTGTCTCCTGGTTTCCGTTATGTTTTGAGCTTCTTGCAGCGTCTTTGTATTTGCAGTTTCGTTAAAGCAGCATTTTTAGTCAACGCTGCGCATGTTTCATCAAGTTGGTGAATGTTTCCTAAATGCCGGGCACGTGTTGTCAAGTTGGTGAATATGTTTCTTTGTTTGCAAGTGTTTTGGTACTTTTGTGTTTATATTTGCTTAGTTTGTGCCATTCTTCTAATGTAACTGTTGTGGGCCGTTGTAGCACGTTTGCCCCAGCCGGCCTCCGCAATAACTACACAGATAAATTAGGACAGCAATTGAGTGATTATTCTCCCTGTAACATTAACTCAAAAATGTTATCAGAATGATATGAATACTGGAATGATGGAAGCACCTCATTACATGTTTTTAATTAATTTAATTAATAAAAAAGTAGTGATTATGACATGATTCATGGAGGTACAATGTTGTGAAATCTTTCATTAGAACACCAAAGACAGATTTAATCATGATAGTATAAGTACTAGTCAACTTTCCTCAGTTGAATCACTGAAAACAATGTTTTTTGGGATACACAACAGTTATTATATTTTTGTCCTTGCATTGTATAAAAACGCTCGGTTTAACCCAGTGGTAGAAAGTACTTTGTAATTTACTCAAGTGATATAATACGCTAGTACAAATGTGCAGGCCTTGTGAGTTTTTATTCTATGCTAATTTAAACTTTTACTGCAATACATTTCAAAGGAAAGTATTGTACTTTATTTTACATTTACTTGATCACTTTAGTCACTTTGCAGATTCAGATTACAAAATATAACCAACAAATAAATGATGATGCATTAGTTTAGATAAACATTCAACGTTATCAATCCCTGGGTAAAATCATAAGCCGGCAGTGCGCCTATAACAACTAAAGCCCATATTTAACAGCTGCAAAATTAGAGCAATGTACACATTAAGGCATCAATAATTTGAATAAAGTATTATTCTGATATGGCACATTATGCATATGATAACTCCTTTTGTGGTACTTCAAGTCAATGTGTAGGGCAGTGGTTCTCAAACTTTTTCTGTCAGGCCCCTCTTTGGAGAAAAAAAAAAGTCGGGGCCCCCCCAACACAAATAGTCACGTAATGGGCCAAGTTAACATTTATTAAAATACATCAATATGAACGTGAGCATTCCATTAAAAAAAAATTAAAAATCACTTTGCTAGAACATTGATAATATAACAATGCTCCATAAGTCTGTGTGGTAAAAAAAAAAAAAAACATAATATAATTGTGCAATCCCTTTGCTAGAACAATAAGTTATAATACTTTGCCACTTTGCAATCTGTGCAAAAAAATGAAAAGAAAGAAAATGCTGAAATTTGGCGAAAAAGTGTGTCTTATCATTAGTGGCTGCAATGAGCCTGTTTTGCACTGCACATTTCTTCAAAACGGGGTTGCAGGCTCAGTGGCGGCGCCAGAGATTTATTTTGGAGGTGCTGTGGGGTAGCTTTACATTTCATAGAGGGTGCTCAAACATTTAGGGTTTCCTATTAATGTACCGGTCGCTACAGTTTAATCTTCTACTGCAACAATCCCCACGCAAATACACAGTACACCTGCGACTGTTACAATGAAGGCTCGATAATCAGCTCACGGCATATAGGTGTAAGCAGGGGTAAAGTGCTATTTTTATAGGTGTGGACCTCACATCCTCTAGGGGGGTCCGGGGGCATGCTTCCCCGGGAAGATTTGTTTTTTAAATATTGAAGTTAAAAGCATCAATCTGGTGCACTTTGAGGGCAAAATGAAGAGATCTATGGATACCTCTCAACACCCATATGAAACAGAACTGTAAACAGATTTACTATTTCTTTATGGATATTTTACAAATCACTCCCCTTTTAAACTTTATTCTTTTTTTACTGTCATATAGTATTTCATACCTGTTTTTCATTTATTCTCTTATTTTTTTATAACTATAATGATCATATAAACGTGTGCCTCGGAAATAATTGTTTACATTAATCGTGACCAAACCGTTTGAGACCCACTGAGATAACTTAGACTAAAGTTAACTATCTAAACACCCAGAGAGTCCTTTAGTTCACTGAGCCTCTCAGTCTGACAGGAGAGGACTCTCCTCCACCTTGTTTTGGAAAAAGCTCCTTATATCCGTTAGCGTAGCTCGCTAGCACCAGAAGCTAACAACAACGATCTCCGGTACTGGTGCGCTCTCTCTCTCTCGCTCGCACACAAAATGGCTCGTCCCACACACACACACAGAGCCGGGCTTGAATGAAACACAGAGACCCAGACGTACTTGTACTGTACTGTATCATATTATTTTCGAATCAATCATTTTCTAAATTATGATTATTTATTTTATTTTATTTTTTCATAACCATTTTTCCTCCTGGTCTCTCGCGCCCCCCACTTTGAGAAACACTGGTTTAGGGTGATATGACTATTCAACTTAAGTGACATAATTGAATACAGTACTTTTACTTGTACCAGAGTACTTCTGCTTCAGTAAACGATCTAAGTACTTGTTCCACCCCTTTTTTTTATACGGGATTACTTTTCCAGTGCCAGGACTACCATGCAAGGATAGCACAGGCTGTCAACAGGCCTTACACCTCATGCAACACACACAGTACAGTTAACTATGGGGGAGATGTAACGATCTCCTAAAATAGCTCCTGAGTGTTTCACATGTACACCTCTGACCTTTCATGCTTGCACCGTCACTGCATTGGACAATTTAAATGGCCAGATCAACTCCATTTAAACCCCGTGTACGGTGAATTTACAAGCTGACTCACACAAAGCACTTGCACAACAGAAGCAAACGGGTGTGTGACGCTGCACGCTGTCATGCAAAAATAAGAAGTCTGACCTGATCTTTTTGATCGGGCTTTAAATTCCAAGAGTTTCCAGCCGACATCTGCAAGGCTCGCCATGTTTACACTGTGAAATTCGCACGAAACTTAAAGGATTTCCGGTGTCGTCCTTCAAAATAAAACAGAGGCGATGAGGCTCACGAACGAAAGAAATGTAAAAAGTTGACATAATAATGTCTTAATTCGACACTATATTACAGTAAAATGTGTCACATCATATTCATAAATATCAATCATGTGTCTGTTATAATATATTCGCTTAACTTACTTGTTAGCTAAATATTTGTATTTATTCTGAAGTTAAACTCCCTTCACTTCCGACTTAGCTCTGGCTAACTCCCTTTAACTTGACTGAGCAATGAACCCATGCTATGAACTGTCAAAATAACCTGAGCACGACACTGACGTGAACAAGGAAGCTGTGAAATTGTAATATTTACCCTTAAAACAGTGCATTATTTCCACCTCTTTATAACAAAAATAAAGATAGCACAGCATATATCAAAATATTCAAAAATATTATCAATTTGACTCGCCATTTTTTCAATTCAAACTGCAATTTCACTCTGCCGTAAAACAACGTGCCGTATTACAGTCCGTGTTGTTGTGAGGAGCTGCCCCTGCCTCGAACAAGGATGTGGAAATTAAAATGCAATATTTTGGCATGTTTGTTACTTTTTCTGGGACAATACAAGACATTTGCTCTACAGGATGTAACGGCCGACCTTTTTGCTGCCGAAAACTATGGGACAGTGGCAGCTTTTGGAGATTTTTACGCGGATAAACAGACAGACATGTTCATCATCAGAGCACGTATGTGAATGCTTTAGTAACGTCACGTTTATGTCTGTCTTGTTAGCTTATTAACCATTGTGCCAAATTATGTACAATGTTTTATTCATATGCACTGCAAATTGTAGTTAAGGACATTTCTAAATACATTAATACAACTGTAAAACTAACCACTATTATTCCGTAAAGGTTTCTTATACAGTGTGCCTTAAATATGGTTTATGCTAACAATTTCTTTATATTAAAAAACAACGAATGAATGATTTCAGTGGAGATGAAATTGGCTGTAATTTGTATCCATGTTGACTTTTTCAGAGACGGAAGTGGTGATATTCCAGGCTGATTCGAAAATACCCTACTTCAAGCCCAAAATTCACATCAAAAAGGAAATTTTCCCAAGGTAATATGTCACTTTCGTTACTATTTTGGTTTGAATATGTCCCATTTACACCTTATTTGTAATATATCATGTTCTAAATACCTTTCTCTGAATACTGACGTAATAACTTAAATGTCAGGGTGGTATTGTTTAGCTTTTAAGAGGGAATAGCTATTTTGCTCTCATCTTAATGGACCCTCTTCTTGTTCAGGGATACCATCATCACCGGTGTGGTTCCTGGGGACTACGATGGAGACTCTCAGATGGATGTCCTGCTTACAACTCAGATCCAGAATTCCAAGCACACCACTGTTTTCATCTTCTGGGGAAACAACCAGACATTAGGTACACTAATGCCAACACTTAGGAAAGATTAGGCTGACTTTTCTGCCAATGGTTATTTTGTACTCTGGCATTCACTTTCCTGTTGGGTACAAATGATCAGTGGGACAATGAACAGAACATTAGAATAGAGTACTATTTAACAGTTAGACTTGCCACAGGTGTGATTAATTCGATCACTAATTGATGGACAGTGGGGCCATCGTTAACGTAATTAGCTCCACCTGTGCTTTCATGCAACAGGTGAGAATATACGCTATGGAAAAAAGAACATGACTCTAATATTACTTAGTACATTCACTCAATAAATGTTCTTAAAGGTAGGGTAGGTAAGTTTGAGAAACCGGCTCGAGATACACTTTTTGTTATATTCCATGGAATGCTCTTAACATCCCGATAGCAATGAATATCTTAAGTGCTTTGACAAAAAATCCATAAAAAAATGTCATCTGTGGAAGCCGTAATACTGTAAAAAGCACGACCAATCATTTTAGCCGGCCCGGCTAAAATAACTGGATGGCCTACCTGCCTGTCAGCCTTCCATCTGTGCACAAACTTATCTCGTGCCCTCATTGGTCATGTGCGCGTTCTTGTGTGTTGGAGGAGGGGCTCTATACGGAAGTGGCAGATTTTCTCCGGTTGTGTATTTTCAAATTCTAGCGATCTCGAGCCGGTTTCTCAAACTTACCTACCCTACCTTTAAGTATAAATTATAAGTATTTATTTTCCTGGCATTTTCTACTTCTATTCCACTACAATTGAGAGATAAATATTGTACTTTTTACATTTATTTGACAGCTTTAGTCACTTTTCAAATTTATATTTTACCTACAAAAAAGATAAAGAACTTATACATACATTTAACTACCCAACACTTTATAAGTCGTCTGAAAAACTAATTTGCTTATTATTTTGTAGTAATTTAAGTCCATTTTTTTTTTAACCTTAACCTTTAATATTGGAAGTACATGTTCCTGGTATAACTTATAAACTTTCTCTTAAAATTCTTAATATTTAGATGTTTCATTGTGTGGCACTTTCACATTTTTACTCTACTAAATTTACAGTAAAAGGTAAATATTCTAGAGTTTGAGTCACTTAATAAGTCACTTAATCATATTAATTTACATAGAAAACATACAAAGTGCTTATAACATATAATGTTATGTCATGGTTTGAGCTACCCAACCGTTTATTAGTTTTCCGAAAAATTATTGGCAACTGATTTGATAATCATTTTGGTCATTTTATTTCCAAAAAGGATATGGTTAAAGTCTCTCTAATGTGGATTTGCTGCTTTATCATTTTAAATCATTAAAAACGTGTTTAATTTTTTTTTTTATTATGCATTGGGTACATTTAATATTTAAATATGTTCCTGGTAATACTTGTATAGTTTCGCCAAAGTTACATGTTCAATGCAGGACTTTTACTTGGAAATGTTCAATTAGGTTTTAGGACTTTTACTCAAGTATAAGATTTGAAAACTCCCTCCATGACTGGATCAAAAAAACATTATAAGTACAATAAGGGCAAACTTTATACAGGGAAAACAAATCTCTAGTTGTGTTAATTTCACAAATATGTCAGTACCAAAGTGACATGCAGATTGATGTTTATATACATAGAAATGTAATGTATATAGATGTAAATATTTGTTTACCACCTCAATGTTTAGGTTCCTTCTCACTGGAGGACAGGCTGTACAAGAAAAGCACATCTTAATATTTTTGTTGTGCCAAAATCCATGTTTATTTTTATTTATATAAATGTATATTTGTTATGTTTTTGTCAGACTAAGCATTACTCAGAATCTGTTGTTCATCTTCTGCAGATATGAGTGGGTGGATCATGCTGAACAAGACCTTTACAGACCAACCTCTTGTTATGGAGTAAGTATCAGTCTGAATGGTGTTAACATACATTCTGCTTTTTGATAAACTTATGTTTAGTTTGCATGTTTGAAGTAGAAATAATTCAATGTAAATTCACAAATATTTGTTCAAAATGATGAATTATCTTTTCTTCGATGAGGTTCTTAACAGTTACAAAACAGTACTTGATACACTTGTGAAATCAAATGTAAACCAAAATCATTGAAAGCTACGTTACAAAAATAGTTCTTAAGAAAATGAATGCTGGATGTTAAAAATACGCTACACTGCATTGTCTGCTTTAAGAGTTCAGTAATACAAATATTTTGTACGGTTTGTTAGAAAGCTGAAGATAAACTATATTGGTGGTTTTATATAACATTTTATGATATTTTAATCTTAATTTAATTTGTAATTTTCATATTGTACTTCCTTTGTTGTAAATTTAAATTATTGTAAAATGATATTTTTTGAGAAAGTTGCCCATAATATAATAAAAATTGTAATTATCTGACAATTACAAGGGGCGCAGTGGTTAGTGCGTCGGTGTTCGGATCCCGGTTCAAACCCCACTGCACTCAGCATGTCGCTGTGTCCCTGGGCAAGACACTTCACCCCAAATTGCTCCTGTGGGGATTTCCCACAGTATCGAGTACAGTGTTTCCCCCCCCCCCCCCCCCCCCCCCCCCCCGGCAAGAAAAGCCAAAGGCCCCTTAACCTACCCCCTCAAATAAGAAAATACATGCGAGTTCATGGCTAGCGGACAATGTTTTTGTTACTCTGTGTTGCGTTGTTAATGAGTGAGACACACCGGAGTTGAGGATCTGTGGGGTTTATTCTCCCAAAAATATAATTTACAATTTAGGCATTTAGCAGACGCCTTATTCCAAAGCGACTTACAATGACCAATTACAGGGACATTCTCCCTGGAGTAACTGAGGGCTCAGTGCCTTACTCAAGAGCACACTAGTAGTGGTGTTCCAGGCGGGATTTGAACTCGCAACCTTCCGATCATCAGCCCACCTCACTATCCATTATACCACCAAAATAAAAATAAAATAAATAAATACAATTATTTAAAATCATTTTTTATGAGATCCATTTGTGGCGGACGATATTTAATTGTGGCGGCCCGCCACAAATAAATCAATGTATGGGAAACACTGGAGTATGTAAGTCGCTTTGGATAAAAGCGTCTAACAAGTAACATGTAATGTAATGTAATTAAAGTGCATTGCTGGACTTAAAGTTGAATATACCAATTGTGTTTAAAATGAGATAAAACTACTGATGTTTTCTGGCCCCCTTATGTATTAAACCGTTTCAAAAGTGACCATAGAGATGGAGCTACACCTCTCCAACATTGCCAACAAGCATACACAGTATATGTCTAATAAACTGTTATCCCGAGTATGTTTTATCTATGTTTTATTTATTTATGTCAAATTCTTCCCACAGCTTCAATGGGGACATGATCCCAGACATTTTTGGAGTCACAAGCACCGTCACCGAAGTATGCTACGTCACGAACAGGTAGTTAAATCATTCTCAAAATTATTATTTTGAAATCCTTATTTATTCCTAAGACTCTCATATATTAAAATATATTAGATTTGACATCCTGCTGTTGCCTCTTGGTTTTCCTGTGCTTCAGGATTCCAGTGTGGAGGAATGCTTTGAGTTTAG